AATGATTGCATAATCATCAGGTAAAAAAATACTCGTATCTTATAGATTTTCTAGTCCGACATGTGATGATGTATTTTATTGTTTAGTTTTTTTATAAGATCTGTACATTTATTTTTATGTTTTTTTTAGTTTAGTTTCTGTTTTAAAATAAAAACAACCCTTTTTTAAAGTTTGGTTGTCTTTTATTTTCAGGCTTCACACACCTTTACAGCCTGTCATAACACACACATCTTTTGACCTACCTGATCAGTTATCTTCCTTGTCTTGTGAACTGTCCAATTTCCAAACATGTGAACTACCAACTGACATTAATATGACAACTATGCCAGATGAAACATACAATTCAGAATTGCCAGACAATACTACAGATTTAAATGAAACATACAGTAAAGATGACTTTGGCATGAGTATCTCAGACTCTATTAATACTGAATTCCCTCGTTCACCAAAACTTGCTGAATGCCACGAATCACAAGAGTATATCAGCATTTCTGATGACCAATTAAATAGTATATCAGCTTTGGATGCTTATGATTCTTGTAGTGATTTTGAATCAGAATTCCATGATGAAAACTTGTACGAAAATATACAATCTGTATTACCACTGCACATGAGTAATCCTTGCTTTGATGCTGGGGGTGAAAGACTTATTTTTGCTGATAGAGTTGCAGAAAGATTAGATTTGTTAATATCTAAAGGAGAAGTTCCAGATGATCATATTTTCTACAAAATAATTGATAACATTACAAAATACGTTCATCACGGTAACATTCATAAAATGATGGCATAAAGTTTATATGGGATACTATCGTTGTTAATTGGTGCAACAGTTTATTATACCTTGGTGGTAATAAAACATACAATTTCCTGCGTGGGCCAGGAAACTTTAAATGGGGAAGGCAATCTCCTTTCGATCTGGAAAGATTCAATCTGCCACTACCGGATGAAAGAACATGCAGACATCATTCCCCTGCATTCACAACACGACCTGGCATTGTTATTGAACTCCTGCTTTGCATCATTCACCTTCTTACAAATATGTCAGTAAGTCCATTGGTTGGAAATGAAAGATGTTCAATTTTTGGTATGTCTATGGGTAGAGATGGCATAGGTTTAAAACCAGAACTAAGCTTTGGTCCAATTAGGAAAGTTCTTGTGGGTGCAAAATTTGATATAGATGCTAATTATGTCAAGAACAATCCTCATCCAGATGTAGCAGGTATAAAAACATTAAAAGATTCTATGATTAAAGATGCTGACACTCTGGTTTTAACTGACTTGACAAATTCAGTAAGTCTTCCAGTCGGACTTGACTATTCACCACATATACAGAGTAGTGACTATGCTAAAAATCTGGTAGAAAAGTGGGTACAAGAAGCACAAATACGTTCAGGGTGTCTCGAACTGAAAAAAGAAAAAGGAAAAGTTGTTGAATATGTCAGTATTTGTTGTAATCGAAGTTGTGAAGCATGCAGTAAACTGGGACAGGTCTGTAATCAGTGTGAAATAAATGGCCAGATTTCTATACTACCACAATTACGAGCATGTGAGAGATGTATCGAGAACAATATAAAGTGTAATAGAATGGCCGTGATGGTTGTTATTCACGATTGTGAACAGAAAAACAATCCGCAATGGAAAAAATAATTGATGACAAAATTGAGGGTCGACAAATTCCAGAATTAAGTCTAACTGGTGTAGGTCCGGATGCGGTCCATATTGGAAAATGTCTAGCAGGTAGTTTGTCAAATTGGTGGCTCTTAGTTGACAATTACCGAATAAATTTGATCATTCTTCGAATGTTAAGACAAACACAGACAATAATGGGTAATGTGTTGAGAGAAAACATTTCGTTGGATTCTGTGAAACGGAAGGATCGACAGGCAACTGCTGCAGTTGCCGAAATAAGTTCAGAAAAATTCCTTGACTGTCTACAAAATTCAGATAATGACGTGGTCGTATGGACTGTCGTTCCGGAAAAGTACAGAAAATGCGATGACAATCATCCAAGCATTTTAAAGGAACCAGTAGACATATGTCTTTCGGATGATCCGTCCGAATGGTACGTTGCTGATCGGGTAGGAGTTATATATTCAGTTAGACTTCACTATCCAGCAGAGGTCAAACAGTTGGCAAAAGGTCTGAGCACACCCAGTTCGATTATGAATTTAGATGGGATCCTGTTCGTGTGTGAAAGTGGCAAAAACAAAATAGTCTACATAGACCATAAAGATACTCTGAAATTAGACATATCTAAATCAACCAAAAGAAATCTGTGTGAATATGCCACGTTTTTGGAGATAACAGAACCCGAAAAAAGTAATCTGAAAACCCTCAGACAAATTATCAACAGGAGAATAGAGGTGGCAGGTCTTCCAAGAGGCACAAAAGACACAGTCAGGGTTCTTGACATTGGTATTGACGCTGTTGTACCTACTAAACTAGTTAAAGTTGTCAAAGGTTTGTTCTTTGTAGCAGATCAGAAAACAAAGTCAATCTTGCAGGTTTCTGTGAAACGAAAAGTTGTTGCCTATGGCTATGACCTTTTTGGAACAAGTTTATACTCGATTAGTGTACCAGATATGAGTGGATGTTTCGGATTAGCCTACTGTTCAAACTATCTGTACTTAACCGATCATACAGCTGGTATTCTGCGCCTAGAATTGGATTCAAACACAGTCTCTGTGATTCTGAAAACTGGTACCGAAATCTGCAACCAACCACATGGAATTGCCATAGTTGGAACTGAATTAATATACTCTGACGTTGTATAGAGCATTATACAAGATCAAAGACATTGAAAATGTATCACTTTACCTACCTGATGTTGTTTTGTTCGCTGGGAAAGGAGAGGAAGGAAATGAGGATGGTCTTGGTAAAGATTGCAAATTTTCGCAACCATCAGGAATATGTACTGAAGGCAACACTCTGTTTGTTATAGACTCTGGATCGAAAAATATCAGACTTATAACGTCTTTGTCACCAGTGCACAAATATCTGTCTGTACTCCGTGATATTTACAAGTCATTTTCTGTGCATACCGAAATATTGGGAAGTGGTCATAGCGATGATATCAGGATGTCAATTTCTAAGTTGAAAGACGTTGAAAGTTTCTTTGAAAACTGCACATCTGAAGCCAAGACACTTTTACATTTGAAAATTAACTGCTTGCAAGGACCTCATGGCGTACCAGCCTCTAAAACAATACAGTCAGTTCATATGCTTCGAACAATGTTGGAGTCTCTTTCCGAGCAAATTACTGGTATAGAATCAAAATACTTGGAGAAAGTTGATATTAATTCAGCTCTTACGTTAGTTAATGAACAATTGCACAGTATGTTGCGGTTAAAAACAGAAACACCATCAGTTTTTGACTGTGCAAGGGATTTTCTCAGAGGTGTCGTTGAGTGTGTTAAGAAAGTATCGCTTTGTGGATATCATTATTTCACATCAAAGAAAACGTCAGGGTATGAGAGTCCAAAACAGTATCTATTCCTTGAACAGTTTCCAAAGTCCAACGTGACAAGCCGTCCTGTGTCTCTAAAGAAGACGTGAAACTATTGTTTGAATTTAGGGAGAGATATGGAAAAGGAGTACGACAGCGAAGCGTAAGAAACGATACAACGAAGTTTAATGCAGGTACGCTGCCTCTCAACATGTACCAAAACAATATCCCACCTAAATATGCATCGATAGATCTGTCTGTTACCGACATTAGAATCAACGAAACAGCTGAAGATCCGTCACTTACAGAACCACGCATAATTGATCAATTGGAAAGTTCAAATGAACCCGCCGGACCAGTGTTAGACTCTATTTATGATGAAAATGATTTGCCATCATTTGGTGGCGGTCATGTTGGATGACCAGTTTTCTCTCGGAAGTCTCACTGAACGTGTTTTTGAAACTGACAAAGTGTGCAAAGCGATTCTGTATAAAGAGAATGATGGCCTTGAATTTCATAAAGACATGCAAAGAGATATACCACTTAATTATATATTAGAACGTGTAATACCCCCTTTGTTACCTGGTCAGGTTGTATATACATTAGATGAAGAAATTTACAATAGGCTGACCAGCTCTCTTCAGACTGATACAATGACGATCAATGAAAAAGTTAGCGAGACGTTTGAGGAAGAGGAAATTGTACTGACTGTACTGAGCTGTGAAAGGACGAGACGTGGGAGAACTGTTAAAAAACCAAGACAGTCGATGGATTTCTATTAATTCTGTACATATTATATTATATTTCATAGCAACACTTAGACAAATATTTAAGGCCAGATATATTTACACAGGTTCATTAGTTTTCTTGTCTTATGCCTTCACATGTGGGTATCTGTTTCTTCTAAGTATTTGGCGATCTTCTACAAATTTAAAAAGAAGGGATGCTGACAATGTCAGAGAGATACACTCCCTCCTCTAAACAATATTACATGTACTTAACGCGTTTTCCAGATGACACAATAAAAACTATGTCTAATTTCATGATCTTCATACATGACCTTACATATCAAAAATGAGTTTCTTGACATTGGGGCATGCACAATGCACCATTGACAACATTCCAACATTGTGTATTAATTTTCGTACGAATAGGAGGCAGGCCTTGTTCGTAAAATCAGTATATGCATTAATAAAGACCTATGCCACCTATATATGGTCATATATTAATTCAAATTTGTATTAAAATCGATTGATCTGAAAAAAGACGGCTGTTAAGGTGGGAGATGGAAGCAGAGGGGCGGGAGAAAGGAGAGAGGGGGCGGGAGAAAGGAGACGAGGGGCGGGAGAAAGGAGAAAGGTACCCCCTTTCCACCCCCTCGCAACTGTGTTAAATAAGATAAGTCGTGGGGAACTTTCAATTTATACTCAATCATAATCATTATGAAAAAAAAACAAAACATATGCGCCGCGCTCTTCTGTTTGTGTGATTCGAAATTATGATTTACACTCTCATTTATTTTCTGTAGGATACAATATTTTAAATATTTTTAAAAGTAAAATGAATGGAAAGGTCATTGCTATTAAAATCTCACAAGGTGGCAAAATGTCAACTAAGGAGTACTCAGCAGAAGCTGAAATCATGAAAAAGTGTCAACATGAAAATTTAGTTGAATTACTGGGTATCTGTACAGATCAAAAACAGATTTTCATTATTACTGAATTCATGTTAAATGGAAGTTTACTCGATTATATGAAAACCAAAGAAGGAAAAACCTGACAACTAGATGCCACGATACGAATAGCTGCACAGGTATGACATGTTCATGCTTCGTTAGAACTTGAGGCATTCTGGCTGATCATCGTATTTCAACATACAATTTATACGCGATATGTACTTATTTTGTTTCTATTTTGGGTAATCGTTATATATACATTTGTAATATGTTAGTTTTTATGTGAGAAAAACCGCAAAAATAGGTAGGAGATAGCAAGGTACAATAAAAAAAATCATATAAGTCGATGAGAAACAAACTATCCTGTATCAACACAAAAAAGACGTTAACACAAACAACAGTCGGTAAAAAAAACCCTATACAGAAATCTTAAGACTAAGCAACACGAACTCACCAAAAACTGGGAGTGATCCCATGTGCACCGGAGTGGTAAATACTAGTTGCATCCATCGTGTCACCCAAAGCAGGTTGAAAATCAAGGATAAGTCGCATTCGGTGATGCCATAATCAAGGAAAAGATGATGGATTTGTGGCTACGACAATTATAATATTTTTGTGACAAAGATACTCCATAACGGTACAAAAAATCAAGATGGTAACTTTTAATGCGATTACTTCAACTTTACCAATAGGCACCCTCGGTTCAATAGCTTCCTTGTAAGCAATCAACGGTACCCATATGCATATTAAGGCAGTCAATATGCACTTTCATTTTTATAGCACTGAATATGGTTTTTAAAACAAAGTATATCTAAAAGTCTTTATGTTATATTGTCCTTACTAGCATTGTATTGCAAGGTCGTGTATAAAATGAGAAGAGGGAAGCTTATTCGTTGAAATAAATTCAATAAGCAATGAATTCGTGAAAGTACCAACAAGTCAAAATGCAAAGTTATGTATCTAGTATTTGTTTGTAAAGGTAATATATTTTTAGTTGTTGCTATTATTCAAATTCTAACTGAATATGACCAATCCGTCTTAGCGTTTATTTCTTTGTCATAGAATATTAAAAAAAATTAAATATGGTAAGGTAAATGGAAGTTGAACTTTCTAGCACAACAGATGTCAAGTAGCATTGCACCGTTGTTTATGTCACATTTTATGAAGCTATAATAAATTTGCAATCGTTCCTCTGAAATTAGCTCCGAACAGTAAATATGCATATAAAAACAAATAGAAATTATATAAAATGGTTGTGCATGATTGTCAAAGTTTACATTTCTACTGTTAGCTATATTATTTGCAACTATTGCAACTATTGAACTCTCTTTTTTTTTCGGTGAATTTAATCTTATATTATCTACGTAACACGTAGCTGGTAGATTGAATTTTGCACTGGTGGGTATGCTTCCGGTATTTGATTAGATATCACTCAAACGCCTAACTGATATTTCAAGGTCACCATTATTGATATTAGCAAAGCAATATGGAATAGGATCCCAGTTACGGCAACCAGTCCGGTACCCGCGAATGTAGTTCTTAAAAAATTATAACTTTCATTTAAATGGGTGTAGTGTTATTATTACACAAGTTCTGTAACTGAATGTTGATTTATTTGAAAGGGTAGGCTTTCTAGTTTGAATTTCTGTAAAATTTTGATTGATTTAAATGTCATCTGGCGTCAGTGCCTAGAGTAAATTGCCTAAATTCTAGCCTTTATTCTTCCCCGGAAGTAGACTGACTGACCCTGTTGTCAATCAAAACGAAATTTTGCAACGGAATGTCGATCATGAGGCACTGAGATTGTACTAAGAAACATCGAAACCTATGCCTAACATGAAAAAGAGATCCCAAGGTGGCTATCAAAATTATTTATTGAACAGCAGCCCATTTATTTACTATGATTTTCAATGCGTTTCAATGGGGCAAATAACTGGGTCCCCGTTCCTGTCAGAGGGCATATATTGAACACTTCAATCTGCTTCTGTAAGCTTATTTTTGAATTTACATGGATGAAATTTTGCTAGAGACTTCAAATTCAATAAGGAAAACAATGGTATAATTATTTTTCAAATTTGAATTAAACTTTTTAAATTAAAATGAAATTTAAATTTATGAAATTTAAAAAAAGAAATTTTCAATTTAAAGTTTGCAAAGGGGTCACAGTAAGGTCATTTTGTTGGTAATATGTATTCATACACTTGTAAGTTAAAATGGAGGGATTTTTCAAAAAATATCAGCAAAAAATACTAGAAAAGAGCCACCTGGCAAGAAAAAACAAATGTCTAATATGGGATCAGGGGACAACAAAAGATGGAAAATATGGGCTTATTTCTTTCTGGGATCCTATTTCTGGCACCTGGAAATAGATAAAAGCCCATAGATTCAGTTTTATGGTTTTTGATAATTATTGGATATTAAATGAAACATTTGACGCCAGCCACTTGTGTCACAATAGTTTGTGTGTGAATGCGGCTCACATTACTTTAGAGCCGCATCACATAAACAACAACAGAATTTATTGTAAACACCAAAACTCTTGCCAGGGGCATGCAAATTTTCCAGATTGCCGACTGGATTTATTTTTGGAAGATATTTAAGGGTAGGGCATAGCTTATATAGAGAATTTTGACTGAATGTACAACAATTTTAGACTCTTTTTTAAAGATTTAGTGGTCCTTAAAAGGACCGTTAGTTAATTTTGTCTTTATCTTTTTCAGCAGTAGATGAATGCAGCTACATCTTCTTTGACTTTGGAACTTTTGAAGTACAGCTTCTGGTAGGTATATTCTTCTTTGCTGGTATTACTCTACCATATGAATGATCGTCCTTTATGCTTTTAACAAATGAAGCATCAAGTTTTGGATCAAGTTGTCCCTTTTGATATCTGTCTGTACATTTACTTTCTTCCGAATGATCCTTAATTTTCTGTCCGGTTTCTTGTTAATTTTTCTTTTTCCTTTCTGGAGTATTTTGGTATACTTTGTTCCGTTCACACTCCCTTTGCATCTGGTCCAAGTGTTTTAATGAACCTGGTGATATTTTAAAACCAATACATTCTGCTGTTTGTCTCCAGGAATTAGCTATACCATTATTCAAAGTGTGAATTATTGCACATACCCTCCCTTCAAAATTTCTACAAAAGTTCACATTCTTTGGTAAGTAAACACTTAGTGCTCTGTTAACAGCTTCACATTTTTGAGTGTTGAAATTAAATTTCATTTTCATTAATGCTTCCTCGCTAAGTTTCATTTTTAAAAGTTCCTGCATTATTAACTTGTCATTGTTATCCATATTCAGGTTGGTTAACTTGTTCGCACCCAAGTACATGGATCTCAGCCACCAACAGTTTGAGTGTCCACCACCACACATGTATGAACTAGTGGGACATTTAGAGCAGTCACAAGTATAACAACGCACAGTAGCATTAATCATTCAGGCAGATCCAGGATTGCCCTCGACCATGTCGACATCTGTTAAACTATAGGAGGTACCGTCTTGACGGGTTTTAGCTACAAGTGAAAACTTTTCTGCATCTAGCCTTTTCCATTGTATTTTAAATGAACTTAGCTGACTGTTTGAAGACTATGTATCATATTTTATACCCTTGTTATCGGGTATGCTTCTTAGCATATGTAATTCTTTTAAAAAAAACGAAAGATTTAAATTTAATTAAAAAAATAATAATTAATTTGTTTTCAGCAGAAATTTGTTTTAACTAGATTTCCATACAAAGAATGAATTTATCTACCATATGCAATTTACAGAATGTAAATATCTTTTGAAATAAAAAAAGTTTTGCTGATTTTAAGCATATTTACTTCATGAATTTATGATTTTATCCGACCAATTTTCTGGTATTTGAGATGTTATAGATAAGGATCAATAACTCTGTAACTGTTGGATCAAATTTATTGAAACTTTGCACAATAACTACTGAGATGTATATCTTTTTTTATAAAGTGCAGTTTTAAGTCTGGAACAAAAAATAAAGTCTGACAGGAATAGGATCCAAGTTACGGCAACCAGTCTGGTACCCACGAATGTAGTTCTTAAAAAAATTATAACTTTTATTTAAAATGGTGTAGTGTTATTATTACACAAGTTCTGTAACTGGATGTTGATTTATTTGAAAGGGTAGGCTTTCTAGTTTGAATTTGAATTTCTGTAACAATTTTGATTGATTTAAATGTAATCTGGCGTCAGTGCATAGAGTAAATTGCCTAAATTCTAGCCTTTATTCTTCCCCGGAAGTAGACTGACTGACCCTGTTGTCAATCAAAACAAAATTTTGCAACAGAATGCCGGTCATGAGGCACTGAGATTGTACTTAGAAACTTCGAAACCAATTCCTAACATGAAACAGCGATCCCAAAGTGGCTATCAAAATTATTTATTGAACAGCAGCCCATTTATTTACTATGATTTTCAATGCGTTTCAATGGGGCAAATAACTGGGTCCCCGTTCCTGTCAGAGGGCATATATTGAACACTTCAATCTGCTTCTGTAAGCTTATTTTTGAATTTACATGGATGAAATTTTGCTAGAGACTTCAAATTCAATAAGGAAAACAATGGTATAATTATTTTTCAAATTTGAATTAAACTTTTTAAATTAAAATGAAATTTAAATTTATGAAATTTAAAAAAAGAAATTTTCAATTTAAAGTTTGCAAAGGGGTCACAGTAAGGTCATTTTGTTGGTAATATGTAATCATACACTTGTAAGTTAAAATGGAGGGATTTTTCAAAAAATATCAGCAAAAAATACTAGAAAAGAGCCACCTGGCAAGAAATAACAAATGTCTAATATGGGATCAGGGGACAACAAAAGATGGAAAATATGGGCTTATTTCTTTCTGGGATCCTATTTCTGGCACCTGGAAATAGATAAAAGCCCATAGATTCAGTTTTATGGTTTTTGATAATTATTGGATATTAAATGAAACATTTGACGCCAGCCACTTGTGTCACAATAGTTTGTGTGTGAATGCGGCTCACATTACTTTAGAGCCGCATCACATAAACAACAACAGAATTTATTGTAAACACCAAAACTCTTGCCAGGGGCATGCAAATTTTCCAGATTGCCGACTGGATTTATTTTTGGAAGATATTTAAGGGTAGGGCATAGCTTATATAGAGAATTTTGACTGAATGTACAACAATTTTAGACTCTTTTTTAAAGATTTAGTGGTCCTTAAAAGGACCGTTAGTTAATTTTGTCTTTATCTTTTTCAGCAGTAGATGAATGCAGCTACATCTTCTTTGACTTTGGAACTTTTGAAGTACAGCTTCTGGTAGGTATATTCTTCTTTGCTGGTATTACTCTACCATATGAATGATCGTCCTTTATGCTTTTAACAAATGAAGCATCAAGTTTTGGATCAAGTTGTCCCTTTTGATATCTGTCTGTACATTTACTTTCTTCCGAATAATCCTTAATTTTCTGTCCGGTTTCTTGTTAATTTTTCTTTTTCCTTTCTGGAGTATTTTGGTATACTTTGTTCCGTTCACACTCCCTTTGCATCTGGTCCAAGTGTTTTAATGAACCTGGTGATATTTTAAAACCAATACATTCTGCTGTTTGTCTCCAGGAATTAGCTATACCATTATTCAAAGTGTGAATTATTGCACATGCCCTCCCTTCAAAATTTCTACAAAAGTTCACATTCTTTGGTAAGTAAACACTTAGTGCTCTGTTAACAGCTTCACATTTTTGAGTGTTGAAATTAAATTTCATTTTCATTAATGCTTCCTCGCTAAGTTTCATTTTTAAAAGTTCCTGCATTATTAACTTGTCATTGTTATCCATATTCAGGTTGGTTAACTTGTTCGCACCCAAGTACATGGATCTCAGCCACCAACAGTTTGAGTGTCCACCACCACACATGTATGAACTAGTGGGACATTTAGAGCAGTCACAAGTATAACAACGCACAGTAGCATTAATCATTCAGGCAGATCCAGGATTGCCCTCGACCATGTCGACATCTGTTAAACTATAGGAGGTACCGTCTTGACGGGTTTTAGCTACAAGTGAAAACTTTTCTGCATCTAGCCTTTTCCATTGTATTTTAAATGAACTTAGCTGACTGTTTGAAGACTATGTATCATATTTTATACCCTTGTTATCGGGTATGCTTCTTAGCATATGTAATTCTTTTAAAAAAAACGAAAGATTTAAATTTAATTAAAAAAATAATAATTAATTTTTTTTCAGCAGAAATTTGTTTTAACTAGATTTCCATACAAAGAATGAATTTATCTACCATATGCAATTTACAGAATGTAAATATCTTTTGAAATAAAAAAGTTTTGCTGATTTTAAGCATATTTACTTCATGAATTTATGATTTTATCCGACCAATTTTCTGGTATTTGAGATGTTATAGATAAGGATCAATAACTCTGTAACTGTTGGATCAAATTTATTGAAACTTTGCACAATAACTACTGAGATGTATATCTTTTTTTATAAAGTGCAGTTTTAAGTCTGGAACAAAAATTAAAGTCTGACAGGAATAGGATCCAAGTTACGGCAACCAGTCTGGTACCCACGAATGTAGTTCTTAAAAAAATTATAACTTTTATTTAAAATGGTGTAGTGTTATTATTACACAAGTTCTGTAACTGGATGTTGATTTATTTGAAAGGGTAGGCTTTCTAGTTTGAATTTGAATTTCTGTAAAAATTTTGATTGATTTAAATGTAATCTGGCGTCAGTGCATAAAGTAAATTGCCTAAATTCTAGCCTTTATTCTTCCCCGGAAGTAGACTGACTGACCCTGTTGTCAATCAAAACAAAATTTTGCAACAGAATGCCGGTCATGAGGCACTGAGATTGTACTTAGAAACTTCGAAACCAATGCCTAACATGAAACAGAGATCCCAAAGTGGCTATCAAAATTATTTATTGAACAGCAGCCCTTTAATTACTATGATTGTCAATGCGTTTCAATGGGGCAAATAACTGGGTCCCCGTTCCATATACATCTCTGACTTCTTCGAAATTCAAGCGGGTTGGGTTGGGTTGGGTTTGGTTGTTTTTTTTTTTTTTTTTTTTTTTTTTTTTTTTTTTTTTTTGTTTGCTACATCAAAATACGTTTGTGTAATTTATGTAATATAAGTTTAACTATTTCAAATCGTGCCGGCTGTTATTCATTAATCATTAAACAAGCATATATTTATCCGCAAATAGCAAATGGAATGGCTTTCTTAAAGAGCAAAAAAATTATACACAGGGATTTAGCAGCTAGGAACGTGCTGATTGGAAAATGTAAAATCGCCAAAGTTGCAGATTTTGGACTAGCACGATCCACCATCTGATAAGAATGTCTACAACCCAAGAGGTAATTTTATAGCATACGTAGTAGCATTACATATAAAAGTCAGAAGCTGTGGTATAATTGCCAATGAGCCAACTATCATAGTTTTTTTGTTTACTATACATATCGTTGTGGATACTGAAAGAACGATTTAAACATACATGTACATGTGTGTATATATATTTATACAAAAACGCAACTAACAGATGAATTTGTGAAATTTACCTTTTCACACATTGTCCAATATATTTCGAAGAATTAAGAAATAAATGACAGCTTAAAGTGGATACATTTATTTTCGTGGATACCATAATTACCTGATATAAATTTTCCTACAGCAAACAAAAGAGTAAAATTTGCAGGCAGATATTACGTTTTAACCCTGTATCATTCACAGAACCTGAAACATTGTCAAGTATTTTCCGGTGAGGATGAAACGTCAAAGAGAAGTGATTACTTAGAATAGCCATTTATATAACATGTTTCAAACATAATAAAATACACATCAAGCGTATGATCTAAAGTAAATACCGACACAGCAGACCAAAGCCAATTAACTAATAAAACCTCAATGCGTTGACCTTAATAGACCAATTGATAAGAGAATTACTGGCGTGAACAATGATTAGAGATATATAGCTCAATATAAATAAACCTTGACCGCAGATAATTGATAGCTATTAACGACCACTCTTATAAGAACGATCACAGACACTATACCATAATTACAAAAGTAGTTATTGTTGATATAAAGCCTGTAAAAGTCCAGCAGGAAGTATTTCAAGATACCCAGTCTGATCTGATATTGTTGAAGTACTGAAGAAATATAAAACATGATAAAATAATTATTTTTATTATACAAATATTTGGGCAACACGTTATGTTACAGAAAACTTCCTTGGCGTCATTGAATAAAAAGCGATGAATGTAAACTAACTGACGCCAACATTATACTTAACTATCCGAGCAGTGTGCGCGACACACTGTGTGAATGCTTAAGGATATTTTTTCTCTAGTATCATGTAATTCACTCAGTTCTGTCATATTGTAAATCAAGAACAAAACAAATTACATGCTACCTGCAGTTGACACAAAACACACAGTATGTACATAAAATGATAGTGTGTTCTCAGATAATTAAGGATAATTTGCCGCTAAAAAAACTGTGCCTGAGCTAGTCACATATCTTTGACAGAAATGCATCACCATAGGGGTATTTGCATACACGTGTGTGTACGACTACCAGTCTACTTGTCTCAGAGTACTTAAGCAAGCCGTTCCCGAGCGGTATAGCCTTACTAGATTTTCCACGTGGTACCGCATAAGAGTAAATCTTTGTTGGCATAGACCGACGTGAAATAGAGCTGTTGAGCAATCAAGATGAGACTATTCCTGATTAAGGTACGTAGGCACCCTAACTACTCAGAAAATTTTTGGGGAACGATATTATATTTGGCCAAAATAAAATATCATAGCCCAAAACGAAATATGTAACGTTATGTTGCCTGCCCAAGTTGCATATTGAGTAACCCCAAAATTTGAAGATGTTGTGCCTGATGAAGCCTTGTGTCTTGTTAAAATTAAAGTTGATCTAGAGAAACAATTAATGTCAATATAAAAATCCTTACCCACAATATTGAGATCAACGTGAAAAAGAAAGACACAAAGCCAGGGTGGAGGACAAGTTACAAAGTTATAAGCGATTGTAAAAAACGTTTGCCTGCATTGTTATCTTTGTTATTTAATCTTTTCCAGCGCGGATTTAATATCCAATTTAGAAGTTCTAATGTATCGTTTAAAACAATCTGATTTCCAACGTCCCAGTGTTTGTATCATGCTGTCCTCAATACCTTGAGAACTAGCGCTAGTGGTCGCACCTGATCGAAAAGAATGTTCGCTATAATCCTTTTCACTATATCCTAATGCCATGAGTATTGTTTTTAGCTTGCTTATAAAATAGCTCCAGGAAAGTGGTTTTCCGGTTTCTTCAACGAAAAACGAATCATTGTGCCTTGCGTTCAGGTTTCGTCTTACACTCATCAGCTGGAATAGCAATTTATACGGACAAACGACGCCATCTATCTTGAACAAGGAAATTATAATACCTTGTCGGAAAATATCTGTCTTTGTAGCTTTTAAATTTACATTTACTTCGCTTTCTGAAACGAAATTTATGTCAGAAACGCATAAATTTGAATCTGGATCAAAAACAGTTCTACATGTAAACTCATTGCATCTCAGGAAACCATAAAATACCAGAACACACGCTGTTTGAAATATTAAATCCATATAATCATGATTGAAAAATCCACATTGCAAACAAGTTACTATTTCCTATAAAATTTAAAACGTTATTGGTAACTTTTGTCGTAATGGATTACTCTCAGATTTTTTAACTCCATTTAACACATTTTGCAAGCGTTGGTATGTATGACCAAATCTATCACAAAGGGGGTTCACATTTTCAAAATTAACTCCATGAAAACGAACTCCAGCGAGATATAATGTGATTGTTGAATATTTCAGTTTTAACACTGATTGGCCATGGACCACAAAATAGATCAATAAATCTTCCGAAACTTTAGACATATTGAAATTCCTTGAGTTGAATCCAGTGATATGATCGCCACAAAATTGAATAAAACATTTATATCCTGTTGAATAAACATTGCGGGTATTCACATTGATACTTTTATTCCATAAGCTGTCGACTGCTTGATCTAACTCCAAAGAATTTCGGAATGAGGAGGGCAGATACATGGATTCGGCGAAGCGTCCGGAGCCAATTGTCGAAACCGCTGCATCTGGTAACTAGAAAGAGCATCTGCTATGTTGTTTTCTTTCCCTGGTACATGTACAGCATGTACAACAAAATTAAATTTAGCCGCACACCAAGTTAAACGTCGTACAAGATTCATTATTACATTACACTTTGAACGACCCTTATTAATAATGTACACACTAGACATATTATCGCAATGAAAAAGAATGCGTTTAGTAGACCATTCATGCCCCCATAAAATAGCAGAAATAACAATTGGATACAGTTCTAGGTAAGCCATTGAGAAAGACTCCTCATCGGGCCGAACAAAATAGTCGGGCCAAATGCCTTGAAACCACCTTTTCCTAAAAGAACCTCCTTATCCGATTGTTGATAAAGCATCCGTAAATAAATGAAAATCGGACGCATTAATAACGTTATCGCTGATAAAAAATGATATACCATTCCACTGACTTAGGAATTTAAACCACATTGCCATATCATCTCTACATCCCTTTGTAATTGTAACGTGGTGATTAAGTTCTTTAACGGCGTGTGCTAATGTCAATAAGTACGACACAAACGATCTCCCTGGTATAATTACTTTACATGCATAATTAAGATGACCCAATAAACTTAACATTTCACGCTTAGTACATGAACGTCTATTAAGATAGCTGTATAAAATATCCTTAATTCGAACAAGTTTCTCATCAGGTAATTTAGCAATCATATGCATTGAATCGAGAATTATGCCGAGATATTCTAATGAAGTAGATGGACCAACTGTTTTATGAGCGCTGAGAGGAATCTTTAAACTATTAAATACATATAACATTGTGTTCATATTCCTTGTAACGTCTACGTAAGGAATGTTAATCAGGAGAAAATCGTCTAACAAATGTAACACGTGCCGCAAACCGTAATTATTTTGTAAGATCCAACATATTGCCACTGATAATGTATCGAATATCTTGGGACTTGAACGGCAACCAAATGCTAAACGAGTATAAAAATAGTACATGTCATTCCATTTTAATCCATAAAATCGTCATAAAGAATTATGTACAGGTATTAATTTGAATGCATCGGTTACGTCACACTTACATAATTGACTGTTAATTCCTAATGACTAATAGCATCTTCAATTCTTACATAGGGTAAGGAATAGTCTTCCTTATTTATTAAATCATTGATGCTGTGATGCTCATCATTGTTGTGAGGAGCCGAAAGGTCTAGAATTAATCGTTTCTTTTTTTAATATTTTCCTTCAACAATACCTATTGGACTAATTCTATCAGTATCAAACGGAGGTTTTGTAAATGGTCCAATAAGGTATCCTTTACGAAGTTCGTCATTTACCAGTTTCGTAACGTCATCGGGAAATTTCTTGGGAGACAATAAATTCCTACATTCCAAAGATTTACTTGGTAGTACGTTTATGCCTGTGTCAAAACCATATCGAAGTCCATCAATTAAATTATTAACAAAAGTTGTATCTGTAAGTTCAACTTCAAGTTGACCGATATCAATAGGCGTAGACACTAGTCAATTTTTAGCCTGCGCTTGTTCTTGTGACGGCCTACTGTTCGGAGTAGCACCACTAGATGATCTAGTATTGACATGAACGAATAAACATTTTGTCCCCTTGATACATTTTCCTGATAAGAAATTGTTACACAATTCCCTACCACGAAAGAAAAGAACGGGGCGTCCTCGTATATCTGTATTGGAATCATCACGACCGTTACTTCCAACTTGTGATTTCTGAAAATGGGTTTGATTATAAGTTGGTTTGGATCGATTATTCGATTGACCAAAGCTTGGTAACGTTTGACAAACAGCTGTGAGATGCCCAAGACTACCGCATGTTTCACATTCCTTAATAATTTGTCCACTTGTGATGGATGAATAGAGTTTTTCGTCTCTGATGGACCAATCTACAACTTTACCGTGGGTCAGTTTGATAGCAGCTAGCTTATTTGCGAAAGCCTTGTGATACTCGTAGAAAACGGGACCTTTATATCTTGCAGAGATATCAATGACATCTTCAATATACATATCGAATTCGATGCGTCGGTCTTGCTTTTCACAAATAATAGTTTTGTAAATATTGAAAGCTTCTAGAAATTCTTGAATAGACAAGTTTCTTTGAAGGCGAGGATCGCGATTTTTAATTAACAGAACGGACAGATTCATCAACAGTTTTATAATCGTGTACGTAATGTGTATCATCCACC